GTGAGCGCTTCGCGCTGCTTGCCTCTTCCAGAGCCTATTTGATTTAGATTGCTTCCTTTGATCTGCATTCTTACTCCAGAGCGAGGCGTCGTGAAGCTGGGCAGCTGGAAAGAAACGACGTTGCCTGGGGTTGGGTGCGCCGCGTGGGCGCAAGGAACTTGGGCTGGGGGAGCTGGAGGAATGCACGCGCCGCATCAGGGCAGCTGGATCATGGGTTTGGGCCACGCGACATGGATCGTGCTGAGTCCGAGTTGGGGATGGGTTGGGCCGAGGCGAATCTAGATGTAAGGGTAAAGGACTCTATCACTATCCAAAAGATGTTCCATTTTCAAACCATCCATCAAGGCGCTCTTCACCAGCAACCGGCACCTGTGTTTGCTGCAAGAGTTCAGAACCCTGTGTAGATCAGCCATGGAAGGCATATTCATTGGAATGGGTTCCTGAGATGCTCAAGATTCGCGCGAGCAAGTTTTGCAGCACGAGAAATCTGATCACGAGCAGCGCGCGCAGGAGTCCATGATCACATCCGCGGTGTTTGGAGGCATGCTACTGGGCTCGCCCATATGGGGCGGGAGCCCAAGATTTGGAGAAGTCAGTGGCAACTGTACCTTTGTCAGTGGGGCCAGTGGATTTAGCGATGCGCGTACTCAATGTCGCGGTGATTCGCGATTTGTTGACTAAACAGGTGTAGTTGCCATGGTCTGATTGTCAGGAATGACGTCCACCACCCGCCCAAAACTTCACGAGGTCCATCTTCGTGGAAGGAGGCAAATCAGTGCAAGGGGCGGGCTTCACGCTCACAGACGGTTGGAAGCTCCAGACAAGGGAATTTCGGCAACACTCGTGGCAAAGTGTGTGTGTGTGTGTGCATGCTTGTGTGTATGTGTGTGTGTGTGATGTGTGTGTGTGATGTGTGTGTGATGTGTGTGATGTGTGATGTGTGATGTGTGATGTGTGATGTGTGATGTGTGATGTGTGTGTGTGTGTGTGTGTGTGTGTGTGTGTGTGTGTGTGTGTGTGTGTGTGTGTGTGTGTGTGTGTGTGTGTGTGTGTGTGTGTGTTTGTGTTTGTGTTTGTGTTTGTGTTTGTGTTTGTGTTTGTGTTTTCGTGTGTTTGTGTGTTTGTGTGTTTGTGTGTTTGTGTGTTTGCGTGTGTGTGTGTGTGTGTGAGTGTGAGTGTGAGTGTGCTCTCTCTCTCTCTCTCTCTTTCTCTTTCTCTTTCTCTTTCTCTTTCTCTCTTTCTGTTTTTTTTGCTCTTTTGTTTTTTTCTCTCTCTCTATCTCTGTCTCTCTCTCTCTCTCTCTGTCTCTGCGTGTCTCTGTCTCTGTCTCCGTTTCTCCGTGTCAGTCTGTTCGACGGTGTCAGTCTGTGTCAGTCTTTGTCAGTCTCTGGGTTCCTGCCTGCCTGCCTTCCCGTCCCTCTGCCTGTCTGTATCACAAGGAGCCTGTTTGTTCGACACCTGCTGGCGAGCTTCCTTGCGGTTCCTTTAAATCCAGGTCCTCTGTTTTGCCATATGTCGATGATTCAGCGCATTGGAAACCTGGTCGGTGAAAGAGAACAGGACCTCCGATCAAGATGTCATTGAAGCTCTCGCAAACCTCGGGAGGACCCTTGGATGGATTCACCACCACTCAAGAGCACCGGCTCCCTTCCCCCACCCTTCCCTCCAATTCCTGCTCATCCCATGAGACGCTTGTTTCGTTGCATGTTGTGCTTTTGTGGAATTTTCCGACTTTGCCGTGGGGTCACAGAACCACAACAACTCGAGTGGCGTCATGCTCGTTTCTCCCACGTCCAAATTACTGTGGATGGACCATTTCCTGCACCAGCAGCAGGTGAATCCCAAGAATTGTGTCCATCTCCAGAACTTCCCGAGATTTCTGCTTGCCTCAGCTTCTTCAATGCTATCTCCGCTTAAGATGGGGGCCCCGCGGTTTGGCGCTAAGACGAGGGAGGCGGGTCTCAGCATGATGCAGGCGGTGTTTTTCATTCCCATGGAGAAAATATCTTGTTGGACTTTGCCGAGGCTGGATTTCAGACCACTGGGGCCGGCGATCGCTCGGGGCCTTGGATTATTTAGGTCCGAGTGGCGGCGGCACGGAGAAGGAATCCCCTGATGTTGGGTATTTCGTTTTGTTGGCAGGTGATGCTGGTCATGCCGATGACGCGGTTGATGCTGGACTGAACGGCTCAATGCACAGGATCGCTAACCCACAAAACAATTCAATTTCAGAAGCCGAAGGGAGCTGGGGTGAGAGCCCCCTCGCGGGAAAGTTTGAACGCTGCCTTGGGGGACGTTCAAGGATTAGGGACATGTATCATACGTATCGTATACCTTTGCCATTTGTGCCGGAGACTTGCTTTTGGGGTTTCTCTACTTTTCTTTCAGCTCAAAAAGTCGGTCTTTCAGCGTATCAGCGTATCGCCAAGTCACAGCTCAGGGCCTTCTTGTGGTCTTCGCTGATCATCACCACCTTCGGCTTTGCCACGGCTTTGTGCCCGGGGCCGCAGATGCTCTCAGGCCTCCTTTGTCCACAAGTTGCCCCCCCCCACCCCCATTGGCAGGAACTCGTTTTGGGATTCTACAGATTCTATAGCCACTTTTCGGTTTTGAAAGCAAGGGGCAGCCCCCCAGCCGATTTTTCCGGCTGCGCGATGTGCGATTTCGCAGGGCAAACCTACACAGGCTTGTCAATACCTGACATGGTTTATAATTAGGGAACGCTTCCTTTGACCAGCATTAGGGATGGTTGTGTTTCTGGGAACCTGGCTATGGTGTGTCACTTTCAGTCGGGGCGATCCTCCGCAATTGGCGGCCAGCAAAAAATGGGTGGTGTTCTGTTGGTCTCCCTGATGGAACCAACCAAGAGAGGGTGCGAAAGAGAAACCCAACACTTTGTGGGGGTCTCCTATTTTTAGGCCCCGAAATGGGCATGGGCCATGGGTCAAAGTGAAACCACCAGACCGCAGATTTTAGTCCATGTTTCCATTGACCGGGGCAACCCATTTTGGGTTTACCCGATGTTTGACCCACACCCAACACATCCGAAAAAGAGAGACGCGAGGCCAGGGATTTTACAGCCTCATCGTCATGCGCACCGTGGTGGGTGTTGGCGTGGCAGGCGGGTTCTTTTGGGCGCGGGAAGGCCCGACGGCCTTCCACAGACCGAGAAATCCCGGGGCACTGGGATCTTCCAGCTACTTGCCCATGGTTTTTGGCCTTTCCGCTGTTTGTGGGACAACAGAAGAGGCCCCCTGGTGTAGACACCTTTTCAAGGGAGGCTGTTCATGTCAGTGGAACAGGCAAACCCTGCTTGCCGCAAGAGAGCAAGTCACCAAACCCCGGCAAATCCCAGACCTGAGCATATCTCGGCGAATTCACCATCCATTTGTGCAGGGTTCCGATCTCGTGCTTTCTTGTTCATGGGTGGCCTCCGATCCCTGACATTGCAAGTCGGGACCCAGCGAACTGCACTTTGCCACGCACTAGGTACTAGCGATATCCAGGGAAACAGCCTGGATCCACCGAGCATGTTTCTCACAAGCCACACATAGCAGGAAACTCATTGGCTCTCCGAGATTTAGTAAAGAGACTTGCCAGTTGCAAGCTGCGAGAGTCTGGGTGTCACCGCGCCCCTTGAAATCTTCTCGCTTTTGAGCGCGTCCCCTTTTTCACGGCTGTTGGGCAAATAAGTACCTAGAACCCTTCAATCAGGCACCTGCACACGCACACAACACCCACTTGGGTATGGGTCAAAATTGAACCACCAGGGCAAGGCAACCCATTTTGGGGTTACCCTATTTTTGCCACAACCACTTGGCTTCCAGCGGATTTTGGCATCGTTTGCCAGGGCTCCCAGTGGGCTTCGACATCCTGGCGGAGGCTTTACCCAGCTCCAGTGGGGGACCTTGAGCCATGAGGCCACGGGTTTGTCTCAAAATGGACGCCCCCTGCCCCCCACAACGTGTGTATGATGTACATATATATATATATATATTTGTATATATGCATATTTAGCTTGTGTATATATATATATATATATATATATGTATGTATGTGTTGTGTTTGTCTCGATCTGGTTTTTGTTGAAAACACACGGAGGCTATTCCCAAGAAAGAGATGCCTATGAAGCAAGTGGGGAACAGGGGAAGCTCTAGTTGCCATGGTGAATGGTTGGTTTTGCAACGAAGGAGTCAACCGCGCCAGGGAGGCCCACCAGAAGAAATGGCCCTTCAGGAGAGGAATTGTTTTGACTGAATATCTAGTTCAACAACTCAGCAAGCCCCAACTGAGCAATTCCTCAAAAGCGCTGACGGAAAACGTGGATTGGGGGTATTAGTCAGGGCTGAATATCAAACCGTGGTGATGTGCCTGTGGTGTTTACTGGCTAGCAGGGTTGCGTACTAATTTGATCCATTCTTGCTTGGAAAACACCAAGCTCCTTCCATCGGGGAGGCTTAACCATTCACCTTTTGGCATTGCCATGCCCCCCTCCCCGCATCTGCCAATATCCCACATCCGAGAGCGAATCTCCCGATTTATTCCCGGCTTGGTGGACACCGAGAGACCGATTCGAGGCCGCGGCGCCTTCCTGCTGTACATCGAGTGAGCCGGATTAGCCATGCCCCATGGATCTGACGTTGAAATCTGACATGTCGCAGTTGCAGTTGAGCTCGCGCTTGTGCTAGACAATTGGGAACATGTCGCCTTTTGCAGTTGAGGAGATGGCGCGTTTCGCCATGGGTGCATCCCACTCTCTCTGACCATGCGAAGGTACTTCTGGACGATGGGAAGCATCTATGTGCCCCTTGGCAGAGAACATGTTGCAGGGACTGTCTGTCCAAGGGAAGCATTGCGGACAAGCTGTGACTCCGGCATCCAAGACAAAGGTTGACACAAGCTTTCAACGTTCCCTCCTTATAATGCGACTTAGTGCATGGCTGCATGCCGTACTGGAGAGGGGTAGGCGGATTAAGTTTGTGCCTTTGGATCCCAAACTTCTTTTACGGCCTGGGAGTGTAGTTTAGAGTTTCGGTTCAAAGCTGATTTTGAAGGGCTCCATGTCGAGTTTCTTCACCGGGTTGTCGATCTGTTTCAATCGGTGATCTCTTTCAATCGGTGGTCATGCGGGCCTTTGCGCCTGATCTTGCTAAACACGGTTGGAGCAGGTCCGCACACGGGGATATGTGTCACAAAGTTGCGCTCTTCCTGGCAGCAGTTCTTCTCACATGGAGCGGCGTGACTTCGGGCGACGCCTACTACTTTTCTTTGGGGGAGGGGAAGAAACGAAGCTAATCAAAAGAGCACCTCCCCTTTCCAGGTCCCATCAAATTGGTCTTCGACTCTTTTTGCAAAACACAACTTGTCTTCTCCAGGATCCTCTATTGCAGGGAACCTTCGGGAGGAGTCGCACAGCGTGTTTCAATTTGCACCCGGTCCATTCGTCCGGTTCTGATAGCTTTGGAAGACTGACGACCTTTTGAAGCCCTTGATATCTTGTCCTAAGTCCCATGTTTATCTGCTTAATTCAGCCACTGTAGAGCTGGTTTGGCGCACTGGTCTGTCTCTTGGCTGGGTGGGTGGGTGGGTGGGTTGGTTCGTTCGTTGGTCCGCGAATGTCTGTTGGAGCCCCCCCCCCTGTTGGCCTCTTGGGCCCTCCCTTCCTTTCCGTTGATCTCACGCAAGGAACATCACGGCCTGGGCCATGCTGGAGCAGACCGGCTGGCAGGCGGGTCAATCGACCAATCGACCAATCAACGAATTGGGGCCGGGCCGACCGAGGTCAAACCGGAACTGCAACTGATCAGTTCTGAAATGTTCCGGTGGTGTTGGTTTAGAACTGCAGAACCATTTGTGGTGTCTTCGAAGGAAGCCTGTGCCAGCCGTCAAAAGCAACTCCCGTACACAAAACCACGAGGTGGATATTGAAGTTGTCAACGTCAACAGCCGCTCATTTCTTCGGGGGAAATTCGCTTTGTGTGCAGCGGGTCAAGGGGCACTCGCCACTCTTTACTGACAACGACAGCTCCGGAGTCTTATGGTTTGGTTCCCGGGGATTCCGGAGATGGCCGAAGCGGTTTTGGGATCTTTCTTGCTTCTATTTGGCCGAGTCTGGCAGTGAACATGTAGGGGTTTCATGCTCGTCAGACCCTGAGGTTGTGAGAATGTAAGCGTCAGCTCTGCTTAACTTTAGTCACGGACCCCCGGTGATGATGATGGTGATAATGGTGGTGGTGGTGGTGGTGGTGGTGGTGATGATGATGATGATGATGATGTGTATGGCTTTCCTTTCGGGTGATGCAGGGGGAAATATTTGGAGCCCTGAAGATTGCTTCTGCGAATCTGCAGTTGAGTGAAAGTAGATGGTTTTGGTTTTAATATTTCCCAAAATGGCTTGATCATGCCTCTTGCGGAATGAAGGAGGAATGACGCCACTTACTTTTGAGATTGTTACGCCAGCCGCCGCTCAAGCAGCCATCCACTTTTACCCTGCATTAAAGGTTGAAATTGGATGAACAATATCCCAAAGTTCCTAGTTCCCGGACCCCAAGGAATCGCCGCCTCATTGAGAATGTGAGAACAAAGGGAATCTCGCCATCTACTTTCACCCAGGAAAAACCTCTTCCTGTATTAGAACATGTTTTCCAAAAAAACAAAATTATTAGAGGGCACGAGTTTCGCTCTGTCCTCTTCGGTTGTCTTCGGCGCTCGTCCAAATGAGGCCTCCCCCTTTCCAGGCCGAAATATAGTGCAACACGGCAATTTCCGAGTAAGGAATTTAACTAACCGAAATCAGAATTGGTGTATTAGTTTAGTAATGGTGTTGTCTTGGTTTTGAAAGACCCCCTACTACAACTGGAGTTGGGGACGGTAGGGAAATCACTGTTTCAGCAGTAGTTTCAAGTTGGCTATTTCAAGTTTAGTATGCCCGGACATGATTTGTTTGGAATTGAGGATACATGTTTTTTGACCTTTATTACTAGGAAGACGGGATCAATGCGTGTTGGCTAGATCCCCAACCTTTTTTGCACTTTTATTTGTTTGGTAGGGGTATACTGTGGATCCCCTCCTTCCCTCCTTCCGCCGCTTCCCCAATCCCCACCGCTCCCCCTGGTGCAATGCTTTTGGGAGTGAGGGGTTGGCTCCCACTTCCGTACCTTTTTGTTTTTGTGGCAAAGGCCACAAAAACCCGCTGTCCAATCCCAGATCCACTAGTAGCCCAAAAACGCCAGCCTTGAAAAGCTAACAGCTAAAAACTGGCTGGTTACCTGCTAATGATTGCTAATGTTGACCCCTGATCAATAACCCCCCCCCCCCGAGTCAATCAGTGGTGTTTTTTCAGGAAGGAACGGACTTTCCACGAAAAGGAGGGACTTCCCCTTGGAATCCGTGGGGTGGGCTCAGCTTCCGAGGTCTTCACCGCCATGGCGGCGATCCCCACGCTGGTGGCCTCCATTGCAGGGCCAGCCCCAGGGAAAAATGAGAGGACGCGTGTTTTTTGTTGTTGCTTGGGTTTGCCGATCATTGCGGGAGCTCATTGGGCATGAATCATGCCTTGTGAACTTGAGCGCCAAGTCAGTCTGCTTGCAGCCTTTGCTCTCAAACCATTTTCATTCAGCCATCCAAGGCTGCTCATTCGCACGTATCAGGGCCACCCTGTAATGATGTAGTTGCCAGTCAAGGGCAAGTGAAAGGACCTTAATTTTGGGACAACTCGACTTGTTGTTTGATGGATCTGCCCCTCAATTGGTACCCCTTTCAAAGACCGGCCCCGATTTTTGGCATTACCAAAGTCGCCCTTCAAGTGATAGGCGAGCAAGCCACAATGTCTGAGCAAGATATCACCCAGAAACCGTCACCAACAATGGGCTCAGAAAAGGCACCCCTGTTTGGGTTTGTCTCGCACTTGGGGAATTGAAAAGATTGAAATTTAAATAGACGCCCCATTCACTTGAACACCCACAGAAATGAGCCATGGTGTTTCCCAAAACGCCGAAAAGACACACCGTCACCTTGAACACCCCTCCAAAATAGACCCAAACACCCTCAAGGAAACGACACACCATTCCTCTTGAACGTCCTCAAAGGAAAAAACCCAAAAAGCCTCAAGGAAAAACACACCATGCCCCTTAAACACCCCAAAAAGGCGGCACACCCCCTTGATCCCCGCCCGCCCGCCCAGCCACTGGCCGTTCGCAGGTACCTCATGCTCCCCGAGTCCCCCCGGTGGCTGGTGGACATGGACCGCGTCGAGGAGGCGCGCGCTCCGCGCGCGCCCAAAGCGCGGCCCCGCTTTGGGGTGTTTGAATCGTCTTTAGGGGGTCGGAATGGTGGTCCTTACGGGAAACCCCGCCTATTTACAGGAAAACCCAAATGTTTGGCGAACGATGTTCGAACGAATTGATCCACTACTAATACTGTGGATGGACGAAATCCTGCACCACCTAAGAAACCCTAGAATGATGATTCCCCTGTAAATACCAACAAACAATGCTGTCTCATGGTTTCTAAGTGGTGCAGGATTTCGTCCATCCACAGATTTAGGTTTGACAGCACACAACCCCAATGTGGGCCTCTAAATCCCTCATTGCTTGGTGGGCTCACTTAATATGGTCAATCTCAAATCCTGTTTCCATTAGAATTAGCAAGTCATAACTCTGGATGGACGAAATCCTGCACCGCTTTGTACCATGAGAAACCCCTGTTTGTTGGTATTTACAGGGGAATCATATCATTCCAGGCTTTCTTAGGTGGGTGCAGGATTTCGTATCACTGGTTGTGTGGCCCCTTTGTTGTGTGGATGTGTGAAGGGAACCAGCTGGGAAAGCTCTCTTTGGATGTGACTTATATTTCCTGTCTAAACCAGCCAAGCAGGAAGGTTGGGGCAAGAATCACGACCAGACTTTCTTTCGGTATGCGAGGAGATGACATGTTGTTGGTTGGAAGACCCTTGAAATTGTTGTTTGCACAAACCAAGCCATGTTAATGATGTCAAGAGGGGTTCCCCTCAAGCACATTCCCAAATGTTATGGTCAGTTGTTCTTACCAATCAATACCAATCGAACTGAGGAAGACGTGATGTCATAGCCATGACAGTTCATACTACAGTAATCAAAGCGAGGGGCATTGGTTGTTGTTCCCTTTAGTTTTTTGAGATCCCCCCCTCCGCTCCAAGTTTCGCGACCCTCTCCGCTCATCCAGGCGGCAGTCATCGTGCAGAAGTGGGCCAAGGACAACAAGAGGGACGTGAAGCCAAGGGCTGAGGGGCGTGAGTTTCCTGCCGTGTCCGGTTTTCTTGGCTTTTCTTTGGTTCGCATAGACTGCGATGTCCTGATTTCGGCAATGGATGTTGACTTCCTGGAGACCTGCATGAAGGGCAACACTGCACAGGTCCGAATCCATCCGCGGTAGTGTTGCCAAGCATTCTGGCCCTCAAAATGCATAGCTGAAGCGTTTGGTTTGCCCAAAGGAATTTTGTAAACACCAAAACCGTCTGCTCGCCGGCATGCCTTCGAGAGACAGGTTTCCGAGGTGTTCCTTTCCTATTGCATTCCTGTACGACATCACTGTTTCCGAAACGTTTCCGACGGCCGGTGGTTTTCATGGACAGGCAGCGGTATGTCTCAAACTCAAAGCTCAAAACAACGACTCGTTTTCCGTGTGGCTCCCTATTTTGATTAGGTTTGGACCTTCACACACCATTGGTTCCGCAGGGTTCCTTGAAGGATGCATCCAAGAACCATTTGCTTTACAACGGAGTCCTCTGAATCAGCTGGTAAAGATGGTTTTTGTGACTGACCGAGTATGCTTTGACGAAATCCGCTTCCAGGCCTCAGATGTGTGCCATTTGAGGTCTCTGAACCTCACAAAGGTGGCGACCCATACCGAGAACGTCAGTGGATGCCTCAGCCTGGATTTTGAGTCGACTCCGGGAGAAAGCCCCAGGCTGAAAGGGCTGGCCTTGAAGCCAAGACATCAACAGGAAGCCAAGGGTCCCGAAAATTTCAGACAAACCGTATTTATCTCGGTGGTTCCCATGGCATCCCCTGAGCTTTTAGCTTTTAAGTGTTTAGTGGGGGGCTTTTTATTTAGCCCACTCAGAGTTAAGCTTTTAGCGAGGGATCTGAGGGCAGCCCAGTTATCCAGGCCTTAAACCTTTAGGCATTAGTAGGTCCTGCTGACTACTACAGTATTTGTTGATGTTTGTGGTGGTTACGGTACCCAAAGTATTTGCCACAATTTCCAAGACAGATGGAACAAACTATAGGATTCCATGTGTAGAGCATTCCCCTATGCTGTCAAGGTTCCTGATTTGTACGCACCACTGGGGCTGGCTCCTTCGATCTATGTCATGATGCGGTGAGCAAGATGCCATCGGTGACCTGGCAATGGACGCGTTAACATGAGGCTCATCTTAGATGATATGTATCCTCGAGCTCATTGAGCCCATTTTGAGAAACCTCTTGCCTCAATGGACACATTTCCGCAATGCCCCTTTGTCTTGCTGGTCTGCAGGCAATTCTTGGGTTCCGTGGGTATGACGCAATTATGACCATGAGTGGATGGTACAAGCTTATTGGGGCTTTTCCTTTGTGACCGTGACTCGATTCGTATTTTACAGTTCCCCACAACCCATTCTAATACTGTGGACGGACGAAATCCTGCACCACCTAAGAAACCCTGGGTTCTGGGGGAATGATGATTCTCCTCTGAATACCAACGAATGGTTTCCCATGGCTTCAAAGTGGTGCAGGATTTCGTCCATCCAGCGTAGTTTAGGTTCCTAGGTTGCCCATTTAGAACCGCCAAGGGCATTCCTTGTGTGCCAGGTGTCCTGGACTTGTGCCGCCGCAGCGCGCTGCGGTGGAAGACCTTTGCCCACGGCATCGTGTGGTGCGGGATTCGAGCGTCGTATTGGAGAGTCGAGAATGCGCAAGGTCTACGGTCCACTCTCCGTTTGTTCCCAAACAATTGGGCGCCTCTTTGAAGGGTGTTCAAAGAGGAAATCGGTCCGAACTCTTCTGCTTTAAGGGGCCACCCCACCTAAGTTTGGACCTGTTTGTTTGTCGATTCGCGCAGCGTCCAGAGCAACGGCCAATTCGGGACATGAAAGAAATCTACTGCATAGTTGAGTAATTAGCAGAGTTTTTTTTTGCCAGGCTAAACAAGAAGTAGAGCCCCAAGCCGACAAGCTTTGGGCCTTGATTTGTTGGATTCTCCGCTAGAGGCTGAGGAGGCAGACATGCGGGGTTCAAGGACCGTGGGACACCAAGAAGCCGCGCTATTCAGTGCTGCAAGACGTCTTGCTCGTTTGCTCTTGAGATTGTTGCTTGCACGGGAAGACACCCACAGTGAAGAATTCGATCGTTTCCTTGAAGTCGTGCAAGTCGGGAACAAGGGAAGACGCAAGTGTGGACATCAGGAGCTCATGCACGGAGAGAGAAAGGCATAAAGCAGAAAAACGTACGGGGCCCCTGTCGTTCTCCGTTTTTTTTTCCTTCAGTTTTTTTTCCCGCATGCTCCCCCCCAAGTCGAATATTTTCCATGGCCAGGTTCTGCTTTGGCGTCTGCTACTATGGTCCCTGGGCGGCACATTGGCTCACCCCGGTTCTCCAAGCATCCCCCGTCGGCCTCTCCCTGGTCCGGAGAATGCTGGGGATGAAATCCGTTGGTGAAGCGGCTCCTTGAACATTTGCACCGGGCTGAAACTGCAACTTGTAAGGAAGACCTCTCAGTTCCCATTCGTTGAACAGACATCGCAGGGCTTGAAGCCAAGGGCTAAAAATGAGCATGCGGATGAACTAAATCACCTAACTTGTGGAGTTGCTAGATTTGCTATGTGTTTGGTTTGTGATGGCAGATCGAGCAGTAAGCCAACCATGTAAAGGGTCCAAGCAATTGCTGCTCAACCATGTGCTTCCCGAGACGCGCAGGATGTGTATACATATACATATATATATATATATACACACACACGTGATGCGTTTATATACAGATGTTGATATCGCCTAATTATATCTCGTACGCATTGCCTGACGTATGTTTTGTCGTGCTGGCAACATTGCACTCCAAGAAGGGTCTATGCTACTCCGCCTTGCCGTGCGTTTGCAAGGGATCATTTCTGGACATTTTTGGTCGCTGAAGGGCCCATGCCCATACACAGCCCCACGCACGGCCCTGCCTTCAACGTGGGGAGGGCTTGGCTTCATCCTGTCTGGTGTCAGGTGTGGTGATGCTTCTGCCGCGCATTTTTCAGCATCACACGGATACGACCGCTGTGCTGGAGCCACAGTGCCGCTGGGGTATTTCATATCTCCACCCCTCCTCGGAAGCTTGGACTCGTGATTGATTGGAGGCAAACAGCCAACATTGATTTCAGCCAGTTGGACTTGACTTGGAGGCACCCCAACGGCCCACCATGAAGCTTGACCATTTTGATGGAGAGCAGCGTTTTGACGTGACTCAGCCCAAGGGTTTCGCAGGACACGGGCTGCACAGCC